AAATTGAGACAGTTGATTTTCGCAAGCCTCTCTTAAAGCAAATTTTTGACCAGAAAAATCGTCCATCATTCGCCATGAGTTGGAACAGATGATAATCACTAGATACCAAGTCTGGACTATACGATGATGGCATAAGAACTTCCCAATTAAGCTCTCAGAGGTTTCGGCGAGTCATTATCGATGTGTATTCTAGCATTGGAACACAATTCCCCTCCTATTGCCTGAAGCAGCCGTTTCTGGGCGATTGCTTCCTTCAGACGTTCTGTTCCGGTTATGGACAGTACAGGAGCAGCTCTTGTATATGATTACCTGTCAATCTCACCAAACACATAACAAAACAGCAGTTTCCTGGCCGTCAATCCTTGCTGAACCACCATTTTAGCCGGCTTACTGCGATTCGACAACGACCATTTTCGTTTGAGGTTGTCATAAGTGATCCACTTTTCATCACCAATCACCAACCGACACAGAAATGAGTCGATTGAAATTCGATTCATGCAATTGGGTTTTTTTGCGTTAACTCGTGTGACACCCATACATCGAGTTTCTTTTTGTATCCAACCTTCTTTAAATGGAACCAAACGGTTTTTTGTGCAATCTTTAGCTCTTGAGCAATCGACAATCGACTCGACAGTTTCCATGATCATATGTTAAATTTCTTCCAATATTATAATAAAAACGATATTACTCGAGTACCCAGAATAGTTAATTTAAGTTGTTATTCCCTTTGTAAATCACTTTAATGGGAGCATATAAATCCACCTAAACTTTTCTTGTGGAACGTGACTAAAAATACTACTACTACTGATGTTCTGGGTTTAGCATTTAAACTTATACTATTAATAATTTTAAGAGGACACCTACTAATAATTTCTAAATAATATATTCTAATATTAATTTTAATACCACTTTAAGTAATAGAAAATCAAAAATATTAAGTTAAATATCGTTGTTTTTATTACGTTCACTTATAATTTAAATGTTTTATAACAAAACTTTATATATGATAGATATATATACAGGAGAATAAAATTTTGATTTTTTGTGTAAACGACAAATTTTAAATGCTTTTAAATTTAATTTATATAGAAACATAATAATTTTTGTATATATAACAGATTAAAAATACATGAACAATCATATTGAATTGCACATACATCAGTACATTATCTTGTATATGTAAATGGCAAGTGATCTTAAAAACTTTTATTAAATATTATATATTATAAATTGATATCATGTTATCGTGTTATCGAATTTGGTATATTATCGTGGAAACTATCAAGCGCAGTATTATTTACAGCACCGAAATTCCATTTCATATTCATATTATTTTTATCGCATTTATTTACAATAATTTGCCGATCGCTTGGCCTTGCCTCCAAACACCTTTGACCAGACGTACCATGAACTAACCACTTATTTTTACGATCATAAAACCAAAATTGGTTGCCACCTTGATTATGGCAATCCCACAGCCAAACTGGGGCATCCCTACTTGAATCCGAAACATCCAGACAATCCAACTTGCGACGTAAACGCAAGTCACGATGCCAACTAAGCGCCCAATTTTGATTATGCTGTGGTCTTTTTAAATTATCTGCACAAGGGTACAAACCAATTTGGGAATGGCGTGGTTTACTCAGAGTATCAATACAAAGCGTTGGTGTGTTAACACTCTGTAAAGCACCATAAGCATAATCTGGTGGTTCAATTGGTGGATAGGTTTTTACTAAATCAAAAGCAACATTTTCCATAAACCATTTGAATGATTTGCAGTGCAATTTTTCGCGTATCGCTTTCTGTTGTGTAAGATCTCCTGCATCAATTGTTTCATAAAGACCTTGTCCACGGTCATACAAATATTCTTTATATTCATCCATCCAAACCTCAGCAACACGTTTGTAATTCTAAAAGAAAGTAGAAATGATGCAATAATCATTTAATCAACTAAACACAAGAACATACCCTATGTAAGTAATCAGTCTTTCGCGGACTTGGTGCACTTTTACGTGGGCCTCTATAGACGTGACCAATACGGGAACATGGTGCATCTAACATTTCACCTCCACACATCCAGATTTTAAAACTCAATTCATATTGTTCCCCACCCCAAATATCTAATCCTTCATCATAACCACCTAGTTCCCAGAAAAACTCTTGAGATATTGCAAATAAACCACCAGCCATGACAGGACTTTTAAATGGTTTACTTCTATCTACCAAGTCTTCTGGTAGTAAAGGTAAACGTTTGTAATAGAACTCCCAATCGAAGGCACCACGTGCTCCTTCATCTTGTGCCCGATACTCAAAATTGGAATGATCAATAACATCGATGAATGGACACACTGCTGTACGCTTATTCTCTGCGATTGGATCGAGTAGTGGAGGCAACCAGTTGTAGTTAGTTTCAATATGTGAATCCAAAAAGATCAATACATCAGCAGTGGCTTTCCTTGCACCAGCCGTACGAGCTCCAATTAAACCAGTACGATTCGGTAAACGTATGATTTGAACTATTTTAAAATTAGCTGCCACATATTGATCAAGTTCCTTAAAAAGTTCTAAAAAGAAAAATATATTATTGCAATAAATTTATATATATATTTATATGACAGCAAAAACCTCATAACGAAGCTTTAGAATCCGAAGAAGCCGAAGATAAGTTGAAGTTTATAAAGACTTATTTAAATTTTTTACTCCTTGTTAATTATAAAACATATGTATATTAAATATGCCAAAATGGTTTTATATAAAAATCACTGATAACAAATATTTGACATGGACCTAAACAATAAATTCACACTATTCCTGAGAACTTTGAAGACAATATGATATTTGGTACAATGGAAATATTTTTATTCAAATAAGATAAGATTTATTAAAATAATATTTTTATATAGAATATTATTAAAGAAGAATATACAAGTACTACATTTATGGGGTTTGATCAAAGAGTATGGTGTGCGGTGACGGGCGCTACATCTTATTACCAGTAATTTAAGTGGTAATTATCAGTCAGCGTCAGCTCTTACGTTATGCTTACCGAACGACTTAATAAGATGTACATGAACGTATTTATCTATTTTTTGTAAGATAAAATATCGAATCTGGAAATTCATGTGAAACTTTGTATTAGAAACGGAATTAAGATTGACGACAACTATAAAGTTAGGAATCATTTTAAGGGGTTTAAGAAGTATAAAAAGAACATATTAAATACGACGCGAGGCATGAGCGTTGTAACACATCCATTATTAATAAAAACGGGAAATAAATTAAACAGATTGTGTTTACAAATAAAAGAATAGCCATCAGAAGTGTAGCTGGAAAAAATACTAATAACCATCAAAATTGATTTCAGTATCCTATCTTTCGACTATATTTATCTATAAGACTAGTTTTGAATCATACAAAAAAATGTTATTTAATAGAATTTATGGCAAACCCAGCTGAAGTCAATATTATTATATATTAATATTCATCGTCATCATACAAGATATCTTAATCCTTTTCACTATTTTTATCTGGATCGAAGATTTCGAAATTGTAAGAGAAATCACAAATCAACAAATGCTAACGTCTCTCTAAGGTCTAAGCACTAACTAAGGTGGTTTATAATCTAAACAATTTGCTAATCTTAAATCCCTTATATATAAAATTAGTCTAATAATTATAATTCAATCGTGTATGACTGAGTATTAACGGGTTTATAATTTATATAAAATATACTAAACTTCTTTTTCATAATGAATGTGTTTTTTTACTCGTGGGTCGTTTTAAATGAGTCATTTGTGATTATTTTTACAAATTTGTGATTGTAGATACTTTTAATAGTTTGTAATACCGACCCAATTCATCACTTTTTTATCAATAAACATGAGGCAAACTCATTTCTTAAATAAATTTGCAACCACCATTATATAGAACCTAAAAAATAAATTAAGTGCAATAAGTCAAAAGACACCTCTTAAAGACACCTCTTGATACTAAGTCCTAAACTAATTAAGAATATAAGATTATCAGTGAAATTGTTGTTGTTATGAACTATAAGTACATAAACTAGACAAGTAACCTGATTTATCTTATTGAAAGGATAGAAGAATCTAAAGGTACGTATTCAGCAATTGTCAAAACAAATTCCGCCTCCTATGCGACACAGATAGATATTTAAGTAAAATCAGTAAGAGCTTTTAACCTACCATACAGAGACTGTATACTTAAAACTACCAATTACAACCAAACAACGTTGTCAGAGACCCCCGTTTCCAATCTCTATATATAACACAACCTGACATGTGGAATACAAACTGTCCTACTTCAGATTGAAGTCCAGATATATCCACGTTCTACTACCATCCTCAACGAATGTATCAACTGCGGCACTACTTCTTATGACATCGTCGATTCACTTACCTAGTGCATATATCAACTTCAGTCGTGTTGAGTTATGATTTCGCCCCTTGATATGAATGTTTCTTCTTTTCAATACAGGCTAAACTTAATTATTTCCATCTAACACCTATCCCATCTCTACCATAAATGTGCAACATTCTTCCACCTAAATCTGAGCAACCCATCCCATTTTCCCAACTCTTGTTACAATATATCTTGTTATAGGTGTGATTGCTTTCTAGATTTAAATAGACTGAGCGACACTTTATCTGTAAATAGATTCGGTGCTTCCTGGATTAATACATATTATTGCAAGTACAATTATTCGACTCAAATAAAAACGGTATATCACATGTAAGGTAGTAATATTTATCTAGATAGTGTTATGTGATAAACATATATCAAATGCATCAAATGCATCACTGATTTAATAGTTATTCAATTCATATGTTTATATGTTTATATGCCTGCCACTTTTGTTACGTGTCAAATAGTTAAATAAAAATATTATTTACCTTTCTCGATTACTAAAGTCAGAAATATCTTTATATGACACTTTACTTGCGTGTCAAGTAGTTAAATAAAAAGACTAATTACCTTCACGATCACTGAAATCATCAACTAAAATAATTTCTTTTAGTAACTCTGGGGGTGAACGATTTATCAAGCTGTGCACAGACCGCATAAGCACACTGAAGTGCTCATTAAAGTAAGGTATAATTACACTGACGGTTGGTAGTTTCGCTGAATACTCCTTCTTGCGACAACTGCAATCATAAAACAAATGAATAATTTTAACAAAATACTTTTTAAAAAAATTATTAATTACCCTTCGTAGCGTATATCATTGATTGAGCGGTTCACAGATATTGAATCTGATAATAGTGCATTAAATCCATTTTGAAGTGACATAGTATGCTCCAATTCACGCTGTGACTCATCATCAATCTTGGCACGTTTACCTTGCTCACCGATACCAACACGTTGCGCATCACGCTCCATAGCGGTATAGTCATGCCAATCTTTCTTTAGCTGATTTGGTGCCTGCAGTTGCATACTGCTCTTATCCTCATTCTTCTTGTTATGTTTTCGATTACCACCAATCTCATTTTTTGCCTGTCTTCCGTTGTCTTCTATTGGTGGTACTATTTGTTGATGTGCCACTGGCTGATGGTGTCCACGTTTATGCGCCGGTTCCACCAATTGCGCTGCATGTGGATTTTCTATATGCTTCGGCCGATTCGTA